GTGGGGTTTTGGGGAAATATCAGGTAGACTGGTTTTATCCCAAAGGGGTTTTTGAGGACTTGGTGGAATCCCAGAGGTTTAGAGGAGATTTTGAAGGATTTGGGGAGATCTTGGGGCTGATTTAGGGAATCTCAAGGTTTGAGAACAGTTGAGCTCTCAGAGATAATTGTACAGAGTTCAGGTGGAATCTCAAGAAGTTTGGGAAGATCTTGAGGCTGATTTAAGGAATCTCACGGTTTGAGAATATTGAGCTCTCAGAGATTTAAGGATTTATAGCAAGTTCAGAAGGAATCCCAACAAGTTTGGGAGGATCTCAGGAGGATCTGGTGGGGTTTTGGGGGACATTTAGTGACTCCCACCAGGATGTGAGGGTTTATTTTGGGGCTCACCTGGCAAACTTGCAGTCGGAGGCGATGTGCCCGGCGCCGCCGCACTTGGTGCACACCGTGGTGTTGGTGATGCTGCGAGTCTCGGTGCTCTGCCACGGCCTCAGGATGCTGGGGAGGGGGATCAGGGTTATTCAGGGGATTTGGGGAGAGATTATTTCTAAATTCATTAGGGGTGGTGGGACCCCTCTGACCGATTGTCATCCTCCCGCAGGGTCCCGTTGAGCCGCGCCAGCTCCCGCAGCTGCATCTTGCGCAGGTCGTTCTGGTCCTCGGGGGTCTCGATGCCCTGCTTCAGGATGTTCCTGATCTGGGGGGCACAGTGGGTGTCACATTGGGGGACTGCACCCCTAAACACCCCCTAAACCCATTAGGGACACCCCCAAACCTGCTCCACGGCTTTCTTGACGTTCTCCATGGTGTTGGCGGTGACGAGGGCGTGCAGGGGCTCGTCCTCGCCCGGCAGCATCTGCCCGTCCTTGCGGCCAACCTTGCCCTCCTTGACAGAGCCCTTGCCCCTGATCATGATCTTGGCATTGCACTCCTTCTCGATGTTCTTCAGGGTGTTTCCCCTGGGAATGGGGCACCAGGACAGACAGCTCACACAGGGGGACACTCACAGAGCTCACCTCTCCTTTACCCTTGCCCTGGGTTTGTTCCCTCTTTATGTTCTGCTTGGGGATTTTGGGGGGATGAACCCCACAAATCCATCAGGGCACCC